GTCATCTTGGTAAGAAAACACACTCCTGAGATGACACTAGAACACAGGGTACTGATGAGGCTGAGATGAAGGTTTTCAGCGCACCTTAAATTTGGGAGCAAAATAACTACAGTTGCAAGTTAATAAATGAAACCTGGGAAACACGCTTCTTTCTAATGTGGTTCTGAAATCAGAAGTGCATAAAGGGTCAAATCAGAAATTAGGAGGACATGTATTAGCCATTCATTCAGTAAATATTCATGCAGAAAGAAAAGAGACAATCTTCAGTGATTCAATTCAGAAGATTGGTCAAGAGTTCCAAACATAGGCTCTCCTACGAACAAATATGGCCCAAGATACTGGGCTTGTTGATGCCAAAATTACTGGGTAAGATTCCATGGTTGATGTTCTGCAGCACATCAGACTAGAACACAATGATCCTTTCAAGCTTTAATAGCTTTAAAAACAACACTACCACACAAAATGGAACTCACAGAGATACAAGGGATGTTAAACTGTGCTCAATCGGCTAATCAAGGAATTTCCATCAACCACTCGATTAGTCGATAAGGGGGGAAACTGCTGAGCCGCAGCGGGGTTAGCTCCCAGCCTAGGGAGCTAACCCTGCAGTAGCTCTGCCTTTTAAATGTATTAAGAGCTTCGCAGCTCTTAATACATTTAAAAGGTAGAGGAGTGGTGTCTGGGACCGGGTGCGAGCTGGGAACCAGTTGATTCCTGGATCACGCCTGGTCCCCCCGCTATACCTCTGCCTCCCTTGTGTCCCTTCCCCCCCGCCCCCAACTGCAGAGACAGTGCTAGGGAGAACCGGCTTTAAAGGCTTCTGAGTGCCTAAAGAATGGAGAATTAGGCCTGGAAATGAAAACTAAGGCGAGAAGAAAACCTAAATTTCGGCTTGTCAGAATCTGAGACATGTTTGGATAGCTGCCTTTTGCTTTGGTTCACATAAGTGCAATCCTCCTCTCGTGTCTGTAAACTACTGAGCAAAGAACTGCATATACTAGCTAGAGTTACAGAGTATATTGAAGGAAACTTCCCAATAGGGATGTGAACGGGTAACCTGTTAACTGGTTACCTGGTAAGCATCGTGATGCTTACCTGGTAATGGTTAACCAGTACCTGGAAGCAGCCCCCACCTGTGGCCAGCTGCAGGTGAATGGCTGATCTAGCCCTGCTGGCTTCCGTGTGGGGCTGCTACTTCTGGCCCTGCACAGGGCTGCTCCCACCCAGACTGTGTAGGCTGGGAGCCAGCAACCCTGCGCAGAGTTGGCAGAATGACCCCCCGCTAGGTCCCCCAGGGCTGGAGCAGACCCTGCCTGCAGTTGGGGGGTGGGGGGTGCTACAGTCCAGCTGAGCTGGAGCAGTCGCCTACCCATCCCCCCTTTAATCAGTTAACCGGTCAAACACTACCTTTGACTGGTTAACCAGTTAAACGGGATTTTATATCCCTGCTTCCCAAGGTGAACCCAGTGGAGTTGCCGCTGAATTCTCAGGTATTGAAGAGGCTGAGACAGGAAGCTCCAACCTTGTAGATTCTGCACCCTCAGACCAGTATACCTCTCGCACAAACAGATCTCTCAGGAAATTTTCCTATGACTGGTTCCTCTGCATGGAACTGGCTTTTAACAGGGAATACAGACACAAGGAGGGAGTTAATGCAGCAAAGAAGAGCATTAATTTCTACTCATTATCTGGCAATGCTAGGCAGGAACATCCCGCAGACAACGGGAATCTCATGCCTCCTTTCCAGCTCCAGACACACCTCCCAAATACGCATAGCCCATCAACATGTACAGGCTAAAAGAACTCTAGTTCTGTATCATTCAGTATGATATGGCACTCCCGACCATGCAAACACTTAAGCATATCCTTAAATTTAAATACAAGTGGTTCTACTTTTAGAAATAAAAATTAGGCAGATAAATAAGTATTTGCAGGCCTAGGGCTCAGACTCTGAAGAGCTATAATGCAAAGCAAATGTATAATTCAGTATACATAGCAAATACATAGTCTACGGATGCATTTAGTGTATTCACTTGAACTGGTCTGTATTGCTGTAGATTTTTAATTACTTACTACTGGCATTGCCAAAATAATGATTGGCTCTTAGTGGTTCTGAAGGCTCAGAATGTTGCTGGAGAAAATCAGATGTACAGCATAATAAATGCGCGGCTTTCATTTTGCTTAACTTGCACTTTCAATGTAATATATAACACTTCATGGGGGAATGAAAAAAATCAAAGCTCCATAAAGAGTAAAAACCAAAGAAAAAATTAAACTACAGAATACATCTGACCTATTAATTTTGCCTGATAATGAAGTGCTTTGGGTGATTTCTAAAACTCACTTTCATTTTGATGCTTCATTTATTTTAATCTACAAGATAATTAGAGGGAAATGAAATCCATCCCCAAAGTAGGAAAGTCACCTGTCTAAGATGCCATTCATTTGCAGCTTGTGAATTCTCTCTCAATTTTCCTCATGTGTTCAAACAGTGTTACATACGCTGCTAAACTTTATTTCAATCAATGTCCATTTGCAGCTTATCAGCAAAAATTAACTGGAGGATGTTTGATGCATGGTTGGTTTTCAAAATACAACTTCTTTAAATTATTTTTCTCGTCTTAATGGGCCTGATTCAGTTATAACCATGCAGTCAATGCAAACTAGAATAGCAATAATACTATGATGGATAAATATAATATTTTGTTTAGTCCTTTGTGTTTTTAACTGGTTAGTTAGCTATAATCTTTGAACTGGACCCTTGCACAGAAGGAATGTGTGTAGAAAGGGGAAAACAAAAGACACATTTTAGCACTCACTGAAACCCAACTGAAACAGGAAAAGAGAGGCCCAAAATGAAAATGCTATAAAACGTGCTAAGAGAACAACCCAGAGAAGTTAGTGCAGGGGCAGCTCTTCCCCCCTTATAGTGCAGCTCGTGAAGCCTCCCCCTTGGCTCATGAATCCGCCCTTAGAAACGGTCCCCAGTCCCCGGCCCCCGGAGCTCACTGGGGCAAGGAAGCCATCCGGTGCTGCTCTTGGCATTTTTTCTGCTGCTGTTTCGACTTTCTTCGTTTAGTGGGTTGGTCACCCCTGAGTTAGTGCTTCAGTCTTATCATAGGAGTTCTGCACAGTCCAATGTCATTACCCTGGTATAAAATTGGTGTTGGTGATAAGAATCAGGCCACTGAACTTGAAACAGACTCTCCACCCAGGCAACCACTTTTATGTCCCTGAAGGTTTCAAGAATAATTTGGTTCAACTTTTAGAGGAACTCCCATTCCCCACTAGGCACCGGATTTCTTTCCATGCACGCTAGCATGACTCCAAAAGTTTGGTTAGACTTTAAACCAAACTAGCCCTCGCTGCACATTTTCAGTGAGAATCTGAACCCCTGAGTGAATCTTCCTGGAGGAGACGCTCCGAGAGGGGCATGCCATCCCCAGTACCAGAGATAGTATTTACGAAGAGGAGAGATAAATCTTGTCTCGAGGCAAGAGGAGCTATTGCACCTGAATTGCTATCCATCCAGACAAACATATAACACATACTAAGAACACAGCTCAGACATGGGAAAAAGCCTCCCTAAGAAGCAAGGAACAAGACTGTCTTGTGCTGATGATACCAAGATACCCAGTAACAAGATCATCTGTAACCTGATTATCCTGAGAAAAGCTATGTCACTGATGAATTCATGCTGAGAGGAGACACTGGTTTCTCTCGTCACAGGATAAGCCTATTATAAATTATTTTGCAGTGAAAATGTGCCATAAAAGATGCTCAACTGAGTGAGCATTCCAAGCACATATTGGAGTTCTTCACTAACTTCCTTATTTGTAACCATATGGTGCATCTTCTATCCCATATTTAAATATCATTAATGAATGCATGGAATAATGAATGGCTGGATAAATATAAAGGAAACAATTTAATTACAGGAATGGAGAATATGAACCAGTTTTCAGTTCTCAGTGTTGAAATACTCTTACTAAGGGTTAAAATTAAATACAGTTAAGATCAGAGTGAGATTGCTAGTAATCACCCAGCATGTATACTAGCTGCCCCCACAAATAAACGTAAAAATACTGCACTTGAAAATAAATTAGCTGATTTTGTCAAAAATCATGCCTTGATTGTATACTCCTTAGCAATCAGAAGATAAAACTTTCCTGCTATATATACAAAAACCCTACATATACACAATTCTATTTTTCCTGCTCTTTCTTTCAATGCAAGAATAGCAAAATTGTCCTTGAACTCATCATGGAATATGAAGAATCAATTTAAGCTCACTGCTAAGTGACAAGAGGAGAACAAGGCAGACATTTTAGAGTAGAGATAGACTTCTAGGCAACTGCTCCTAATGAAACACCATTTTCCTCTTTCTTGGCTCCAAGAGATTGCTTAAAAACAAGGTGTTTCATTAAAACAGAAAGCATTTCTGCTTCCTCTTCTTAATCTTGTGCCATCAGAGGCACTTCTGTGCAGGCTGTGTTATGCTCCTTTAGTGTAAAGACTCGTTCCCAGATAAGCTCCAACTTTAGAATGGTGACTATCACTAGTTACAATTGTGCTTTTGAGTGATTATTATTTATCATCACAGAAGAAGGGAACAATTTTTGCATGCAGTTTCTACATATTTCAGCTCAGACAAGGCAAGTCATTTGTCAAGAGAGGATTGAGTGCCTTTCGAAACAAATAAATATACAAAATCTGAACTTTGGGAGTCAAAAATGATACTTGGGAACCAAACTTATGCAACAGTACGAATGGATTACTGGATCACTGGCACTAAAGTTAGATCAAGTTATTAGAATAAAAATGCTCAAAAACTGTTATGAGTATGCAGTAAGGAGCTATGCACAGGAAGCTAGAATCTGATCTCATTAGATCACACTGTAGGACTTTAGAAAAGCAAGGTTTTAAAATCCAAAAGCTTTTGAGCATTACTATTAGGATTAGGCACTGCTAACAAACAGAAGTCAAGTCAATATACTCACTGCGTATCTTTATTCTTCTTTTTGTGCGGGTCCATTAGACGAAGGGTATCTCGGATGACAGATACTTTTATTTCTTCATCAACAGGACTTGGGACATTTTCAAACACTCCTGGAGAAAGCTTTAATTTGTAAAGAATACAACCGTTCAATGGAGAACTGTTGCTTATTTAGTACATTGCTGCTCAAGTCTTATTCATATCCCTTAGGTCTTAATTTTTATTCTTTACCAAAGTGTTCTATGGTCTGTCATTGTATATTTATCTGTTATCATACAAAATGATACTATGGAAATTTTAGTCACATCACCTAAATACATTGAAAAAAGGATCATTGTCATCAATGTTACCATTTATATACACAAACATGAAAAAATGGTTAATATTAACCTAAATACAATTAACTCAACTGCCAGGGATGGTGAATAAGTACATTTCTGACAGAGATGATAGAGAGGTTTCACAATTTCAATAAGTCATGTTTCAAGAGTATCAGATTAGCAATGATTGCAAAGCTGAAAATTACAAAAACCCTTACAGGTTTCATATTAGCAGACAGCTCCCATCTTTCAAAAACACAAAAAGACCAAAAAAACCCAAACTCCAAACAATTACATTCTAATATCACGTCAGGCGTGAAGGTCTTACCTCTTGCTCATGTTCTATTCTCATGCTGGGGTTTGCATTTACTTCAAGTAACACAGGCTTCAAATTTTTCATTAGGAGAATGTCAAATCCTAAAATCTGTGCATAACGCAACACGTTACTTTCACTCTCTGCAATTTCTTTTAGAGAATTTCACACATCATTATGTACCATCATCTGACTAAAGGGACTTCTCTCGCATCCTGCTATTCAACATGATTACCTAAATCGGGGAGGGGCAAGACAGCCTCCGCGGGCTGGATCCGGCCCACCAAGCTGATGGATCCAGCCCGCCGCCGCCCTGCCACCCCCCCATCCTCAGATCAATCTAAACCTGGGGACAGGGGAGCATGTGAAGTCTCCTCTCTCGCCAGGGGCACTTGGCACTAGAGGAAACTGCCAGCTGTTTTAAAACAGGGGGCAGGGGTGAGGGACAGGGTGGGGGCAGAGGTGAGGGACTTTGTGTGCTTCCCCTGTCCCCTGGCCAATCAGGGTCTGGGGGCGGGGGAGCACGTAAAGATTCCTCCCACTGTGACGCCTAGAGGGTACGACCAACTGTTTTAAAACAACTGGCGGTTCTCTCTAAGTTGCAAGGGGTGGGGGGCAAAGACTTCATGCACTCTCCCATCCCCAGGTCAATCAGGATCTGTGGGCAGGGGAGCACGAGAAGTCTCTGGGGCCCGCCCCTTCCAGGGCGGCCTGGAGCTACTTCAGAAATTATGAAGCGACCCTCCCTTTAGAAATGATTGCCCACCGCTGACCTAAACTTTGTTTTCGCCTTATCTTTGGGGACGCACTTCTCCAGAGTAGGGACATGCAAAATTCCATTCCCACAAAACATTTTAAGAAGGATCTTTTAAATCTCTACCTTAGTGGACAGGCTACCATGTGGTAATAAGAAGAATGATTGGAAAGGTTAAGGCATTTGAGTGGGATTCAGATCAGCGTTAAGTTCTTAACACTGCCACAGCCATCCTGCATGGCTTTAAGCAAATCACTTATGCTCTTCTTGTCTCACTTCCCCACTTGGAAATATTAGCTTAATTATTTTCTCCCATCCTTTCTTCTGCACTTCATGTGTCTTGTTTGTTTAGGCTGTAAACTCTTTGGGACAGGGGCTGTTTCTCTTCCTCAGTGTGTGCATGGCATTTAGTGGCTAGGGCATTGAGTTCTACAGGGATTTCTTTGCTGTGGTCATCTTTCCTTGCATGAGCTCTCTATAGCATACTAAACACAATATTTGCA